TTTACATACAAATTTTGTGCGAAAAGTAAATTTACACATAAAATGTTTAAAATAGAGTAAATGTGAGTAAATGTTTATTATTAGTTGGAAATGTATTTTTAATTTAAAAATTTTTTGCAATTTTAAACATTTCATGTGTATACTTATGTGTATATTTTAAAGATCTCAAGTTCAAAATTAAATCCTGAACATCTTATACGTATATTTATACAGATTCTTGTTGAAAAATACATACCTTTCAGTAGTGGTTTTACATACACTTTTTTGAGTACAAATGTAACATATTAATTACTATTTGTTATACTTTGCAAAATACTTATGCACAAAAATGTTATTTATAAATCGAAATTACAATTGTTTGATTTTATGAAAAATAAAAATATATATACTAGGCTGGGTAGATTTTATATGGGGCAAAATAAAAAGCATTTGACCGTATTGTAAGAGTAATATTATGATGTTTTAGGTCTAAGCCAATTGTTATTGGCCACGAATGACTAATTTAAAACTTGTCTTTATCCCGCGCAATTGAATCAAAGTGTGTTAATTTTGAAAATGAAACTTTGGCTTGTAATATCTGTGGAATGCGTTAATTGTTACAAACAGGATGATATATCAAATTAAGGGTTATTAAATTTAGTATCTTGCGTTAATTTATCATTTTTCAATAAGTCTACAAGTTTTTAAAATATTAAGATAAAACGTACAAAAACTATAATCTTTCCTTATGAATTTTCAATTCTTCATTACAAAACTATTTTATTCCATTATGTGAAAAAGTGACTGTAGGTAAATGCAATAGTCTTTAACATATCCTGGGAAATCCTTTTGAGCTTGAACGAAAAAAGTCACTCCCTGGCACATTTTTGTGTAATACGGTTCTTTTATTTAAAAGTTATTTATACACTTTAAGAGAAATTTTTTTTAGAAAAAAATGGAGATCCACTTAAGTTTGTCGATATAACTTTGGGAAATGTAATAATTACGTAATAATTACCAAATTGAAGGCGAGACTTACTGTTACTGATTTATGATAATAATATGATGAAAATCGTTCAGATGATAAACAAATTATTATAAAATAAAAAAAAAATGCTGAACAATTTTTTTTGTAATTTTCCTATATTAGCAATTTTTATATTGTATGCATAAACAGAAGTAAACTAATTAGTGTTTCTAGAAATTGTGCCTGTTCAATGTTTCCATACTCATTTGCATAAACAAAATTTTTCCACGATGATGAAAAATAATGGCTTTTCTATTAGAACTACCGAAATTGCTCCTAAATTTGCGAAAATTCGCAAACTATAGCTAATATTAAAAAAAATATTAGAATACTTGGAACCAGCGATCTAAATGCACGCCAGCAATATTAATGCTGTTCTTAACATCTTTTGACTATAGGCCAGTGCAATTATCCAGGGAACAATTAAAATTTTATTGAAAAAAGATAACTTTGAGATTAACGATAAGCTGCGAGAAATGATATTTGACTTTATATTTTGCGTTAACGGATTCATTATTTAATAATATGCACCAAACCTTTTTGCTGAACCAGAATTTTTAACAAGAATTGGTCTTATTCGACTAGTGTGCTGTGGGTCACTTGGCGGTCGATGCGCGAGCTCTTACAATTAAAATAAAATACTAATATTTTGCAAGCTCGTTGATGACTTCATGACACAATATATTTTCACTATTACCAAGGGATTTGAGAACAATTAGATTTTCGTCCCGCCCTAATACATACATGTATTCCAAGTCCTTAGGATGGGTTAAATTATGTATTTTCATGTATACATAAAACAAGAAAATTGGATACATTTTTGGCTAGGTCAGTGATACATTTTCTTGAGACGGCGCGGCAACACTGGTACCAATGCACTTTTGGGATCGAAAATGAACCAAAAAAGTACAGTTGTACCATCAATTTCATCACTGTTTCAGCTCGCGTTTACTTGTGGTAGTGATCACATCTGCTCATATATACCCCTCGTCATTTGAATTGTGCATCCTTTCAATCGTTAGTATTTACAGTTTTCCTTTTGTTTATTTAATATTAATAGTTTGTAAAAATATACCATATTCTACGGGTAAATTCAATTTTAAAATTTTATACAAATTAAAACCTAAAAAGAGAATTTTTTTTTCCATTTCTTGGGCAGCATTTTATATGATTTTTTCGTTCTTCTTGAGAGCTGGAAACAGTTCTTAAAAAAAGTCAACTAATGACCTGCAGTGAATAAGTTAATAATATTTTTAGTAAAAATTCGGATATGCAGTTTTGTAGCCCATTCCTAGTCTAGGAATTAAAAGGTTGAGCTATTCAAATGACGAGGAGTGTGTGTGGTGTACGTTTGGTAGAGTGGGCCTTTTTACTCCAGTATGCGTGTTCAGTGGCTCTCATTGGTATTTATGTATTAGTAAGATTTGTTGCCCTCTTCATGTTTGCCCGTGGTTTGGGGCGCTTGCCCGTACGGGCAAAAAATAACATTTAGGGTGGCGCGTATAGATAGGGGAACACATCGAAATGTGCATCGCATTTGCCGCGTACCACCGTTGCTGGCTTCGCGTACTTCCAAATGAACCTCACTCTAGCGCGTACCACATTCGCAGGCTTAGCTTAAAGCGTTCTTACAAGCTATGTATTTCCATATGTAACTGCTACTTTTCTGATACGTTTTAATATATGATACATACGAGTACAAACAAAAAAGTAGCGTTTGCATATGCAAATACATATCGTGTAAGAGCCCCGTTACCACCTTTGTAGGCTTCACTTACCACCTTTGCAGGCTTCACTTACCACCTTTGCAGGATTCGTACAGTTTGAAAAACCACGATCTAGCCTATATTAGTTGGTTTGTTGTGTCCCTTAACTTTACCACAACAAAAGGAGACTAGCTGAAAGTAGAACATTTAAGGGCCGTTTTCTAATGTAAGCAGTAAAGTTGGCTTTACTAACAGGGCAATTAAATTGTTCCTCACTTTAAAGTGTTTTCGTTTTCTTATCTTACCGGTAAAAATAAATTTGTTATTCCGTAGAGTGAAACTTCACTACACTTCCGAGAGTGAAACTTCACTACATTCGTCATAAAATTTCAAAGGTTAGCAATGCAACATAAGCAAATATAGAGCAAGAGCAACTGTTAACAAAAACCAAAACCTTGGTTGGAATATCTAATATATCTGACTCATGAACCTAAACGAAACCAAAATTTAAAGTTGGGTTCAAATTTTTAAAGGTTGCATCGGGTGAGTAACAATTTATCGATTCGATAAATTATTGCGCTGATGAGAAAACGAAAACTCGTATATCGAGAGGATAAAGTGGCCGATACTCTAAAGGTTAGATGAGAAAACGGCCCTAAGTGTTAAAGAAAACTGTGCAAGGTGGTGTATGTGTGTATACATAGTATGTACAGTAAGCCATATCACGACATATGAAAGAAAAATGTTTAGAGTGTGTCAGTTTTATTTAAACACTTATTTCGCGAGAAAATTTTGAATGTAAACAAGGCACTAAATCGCGTATTTTGCTACAACTTTCTTATTTAATATCCGATTTTTAAAACCTTTATGTCGCTGAAAAAGTCGCGCTCAGGACCATAATTGGCCTTCAAAACCATTTCAATTTATACCTTCACTAATTTTGGAATTACTATCCCTAGATTTTTATTTTTATACTATAAATCTAAAGCCTTCAAAAAACGTTGACGACCTTGCTAAGAAGGTTAGGCTCTATTCAATTTATTCATAAGCGAGGCCTTTTCGGTGACATAAAAATTTAAAAAACCGGATAGCAAATAAGAAAGCTATTGCAAAAAATGCGTTTTACCGGTTTTTAGCGGGTGCACACAAAAATCTTTACACTCAAAATTTTTTCTTAACATAAGAATTCAAATAAAACTAACACACGCTAAAAATTTGTTCGTGATACGCCTTAATGTATAGCTGTCCTACACCTGGGTGTAGTTCAATGAATACATTCACATACATACATATGTACGTATTCCTACCACGGATGCCAACTCCCCTGGGGCTAATTCCCCGCAATTCCAGAAAAAATTCCCCTATTCTCGATGAAATTCCCCTAAAATGAGTTTTGCCACATTCATATTTAAGGCACTTCAAGCCCACTTTTTGTTGAAAAAAAAAAAACTAATATCATTAATTGTGATATAAGTATATAATAAGGCCAGTCTTTTTTACATTTCGTGTTTATACATAATATAAAATGCTAATACGATGGCCTGGTGAGAAAGATGGCGAAAACGAAACGATAGTGTCAAACGAAAACGTGGAAAAAGTGAAAAATGTCGCTATGCGCTGTTGCAATTTCTTTAATATCCACACGGTTTCACGAGGCGATTACAAAATGAGAGATCTGTTATCACAATTTCTAATTTATAAATGCAATTTTATCCTCAATAGAAATGTTGTAATCAAAATCGTTTGTATATTGAATTCCCCAAAATTTAAAGTCATTCCCCGATTCCTCCGAAAAATTCCAATTCCACCAAAATCGGGGAATTCTCGCCCGGTTGGCATCACTGATTCCTATCTGCTTTGCTACAGAACTGGTCAAACGAAAATGACAGTTAGTCGTTAATATTTAATGAACATTTTACTAAATGACGGCATTATCTGTCTACATACGTACCTACACAAATATCGCAGGCACTAGGTAACTATAAAAGTTTAATTTTTTCAATATTCGTTTAAAGGCTTTCTGTGAAAGTGGATGCGCATTTGTAGTTTATAAACCAAAGTAAGGAAAACAACACGCAATATAACATTTAAAATTTCATGTATGCATTTTTAATGATGCGGATAATTAGTTTAATAATTACTTTAAATAGCTATAATGTAAACTTCTACACGTACCCATTTTGCTTGCACGATTTGTTTTTAAAACTCATACTTTTCAGGCTACTCAAAGCATACATTTATTTAGCTTACTCACGAATACCGTTTTAACTTTATTTACAGTTTACTCATAAGAAACCGAAAATTGCGGTTTTCTGGAAACCTGGATTAGGCTGACATGGATGCAATTACCGTCAAATCTATTAACGAAATGCCACTGGGCACCGTTGCCAGCAACAAAATTAGTTGCGGGAGCAGCAACAGCAGTAGTGGCTACGCGAGTGCCACCAATACCCCTACCAATCCCACATCGATTGGAAACAATAACAGTCACATCCGCTATTCGGAATCGCACTCTACTACACCTGTGGGCATGGTAGAACCTACACCAGTGGCCACAATTGCTGCAGTAACGCCGTACTACAATGAGACTTTCCAGCAGCAGCAACAACAGTTACAACAATATTACTCACACCTACAGCAGGACCATCCCTCACATTCATATCAATTGACAGATCCATTGCTGCAACCCTCTGCGCCCCAGGATAAAAGTACCTGTGACTCCTGTGCCTTCTTGGCGGGTAATGACAACCCACAATCCACCAATATCGAGCGCAATTTTTTAGGCATGCGGCACCCGACAACATTCTACACGGAATTGGAAAAGTCAAGTAAAATTCCCATGCAACCGGCGACACAGCATCACAACAAAACTACCAACAGTCACATCAACCATATTTATAATAGTGAGACTGGTCTGTATAATTCGAAACGTAGTAGTGAGGCGAGCACGTACGTAAAACCACAGGCCACCGCAACGCCATTCTATGCGCAGCCGTCGCAAACAAGTAGCTCCATGGTTTATTTTGATCCCTACAAAAACAAATTATCCACGAAGTTGGCAAAATACAATATCGATTACAGTGATAAACCGTTAGAGGCCACAAACGAAGCGCCGTACGCGCAAAATTTTCAACAGAACTACGGTGGAAATACGTTCCAGGGTGCTGTGTACGGTGGAAGTTCGTCGCAAAGGAATCCACTGACTGCGGTCACGAATGCGCGCGAACCGCAGCAACGTCTAGGGATGCCTTTTGGCAACACAGCTATGGCAGTTGGTATCAACATCGGTACTACAAGTAACAGCAGCAACGTCGGCGCAACTTATTTCGATAAATATCTGTACACTGTAGTGACTACGGCTGCACAGTCACCATTTTACACATCTACACAACCCGCAAATCTATCCGCTGTCCCACCACAATATGCGTCTGAAATACGGAACGATACCTATCATAAGACATCAACATCTTCGTCATGGCACTGGAGTATGGAGTATAGTAACGGTAATTATCGTTCCCCGTCACGGTATTCCAACGCCATTCCAACTGCCACCATACCACCCACGAATGCAAGCTACGTGTCGCCGAATACCGCTGTCGCCCCCAGTCGTGATATATATTACACACCTGAGAAATATAGCAACAAATATGATAAGTACAATTCTTATTACAATCCTCACCAACAGTATATGACAACGAATGCGGTTGGTCATACCTTCTGGCCGAATTCGCCTCATTCCACACCGTACCTTGTACCCGCACTTAACGATAGTTTGTCACACGCGTACTCGCACCACGCATCGTTACCTCCGACCGGCGTCCCCACCGCTATAGCACCAGCACCTACGCATCCTTCACTCGCATATCACCATCCCTTTCCACCTTCTGCAGCTTCAGTCACCGATCGCCAAAGTTGTTGCTCACAACCATATCAGCAGCAGAATTGTTACTATCCGCGAAATGCACAGCATCCTCACCATCTTCCTAATGTATACAGCTCACACACGCAAACCGCAAGTGGAAACAGCAACAACAATACCGCAGGGAAGTATGGAATGCTTGATTATGGACATGATACCAAAGCCAAGGTCAATACTAATGATATCTATGCTAGAACGACGCCTACCTATGAGACCACAAATATAAATTATCATTCTTACCCGGTAGGTATTACCCACAATCAGCAATATGAAAACCCTATAACACCAGCTACCGTAGTTTCACATCAACCGCTCAATCCAAATATTACGCCACATAGTGACATCTCGACTGTTTATTATAATGATCTCAACATGCAGACTGCTTATGATACCTACATTAGCCCAGTTCAAGTGCCGGCGTTACTACAACGGTGTGAAAGTTTAGTACAACGTGTTGAGCAGCTACCAAATTTGCCACCTCCCTACATACAGTCCACTCCAGTGAAAAGTTCACTAACTGACTTTCGAAAGCCGCCAGAAATAGTAGATGAGAACTGTTTTATAGCTGAAACGACGCGCACGAACATAAACGACCATTTGACTACAGATATGAGCAACTCTGCAAGCAACTTCCGACATGAGAGTGGGATGCGTCTCAGCAATGCAATCATATATAGCCAAAAGACGGCGGAAGAGAGTGCAGATAAGACTGGCACTCCACTTACGCCAACAACTAAGATTTACTCTAGTCTGCGTGATTTTCTGAGTACTTGGAATGAAGATGAAGAAGATTTTGAATTCACGGATGAGCGGAAGTTGTCTGACACACCGCATTTCGATGAACAGATAATTGGCACAGAAGGCAAAACGAATCTTGCTAAGATATCAAATAAAATGCTTTGCGTATCAGGACTCCCAAGTGTGGCCAATACACCAGTCTCAATCACCCTCGATTCCGAGGAAATAAGTCGAACACCGCAACAACCATCAAATACCTCAGCATCAAATACACGTTCCAAAACGCACGATGACGTTAATGTAGGCAGATCAACAGATGTAGAGACAAATCGAAATGTAAGCATAAGTTTGCCTGATATCATCATCGATATCGAAAGGTCTAGTAGTTCAACGCCAGCTTTTTCGAGCGCAGCAAAGGTCTTCAAGGTCGATATGAATATGAAATCTAAAAGCGAAGATATACACTATAATAATTTTGATGTTGAAAAAGAGATTGATGAACTAAAAACAAAAAGGGTTCAACTATCAAGAAAAAACCCTAATATACCGCCTCCATGCACGGGTGGCGTAATAATGAGGACCGAAACCGAAGCGAAAGAAATACAAACAAAAACCATGCCCCAAAGTTTTATTGAAGACGAAAATGATAAATTAGAAAGTATGAAAACGTCGAAAAGTTTTGAACTAATTAGTAATTCCTCTTACACAGCAGCAACGGAGAAATTAGAAGAAAATATTAATTCTTCAGTCAACAAAAGTGAGCTTACCTTATCAACCGTCCAAACTAAACCAGACGTCTCTTGCGATCGAGGTATCGAAAGTGATTATACAACGATTTCTAATGGCTCCACATTTGAAAGAGAATACAAGACATTTATTAATAAAATAGGGAACAATTTTGACCTCAACGTTGCTGTTAGTAATGAGAGCAATATTGGCACAATTAATATGGCTAACAAACTGACTGATTCCGGAACTATTCTTGAAAATAGAATGACTAAAACGTTTGCAAAACGTAATCCCCAAACTGATATTGATATAATACATAAACTTAAAAGTTTTTCAAAATTCTACAAACGAAAATATTCGGATTTAATAAAATATGAAGGTGGTAATAAATTACGAAATCAAGGGCAAATTTTAGTTAGCGATTTAAATTTTGCTGTGGTCTCAACAAAGCCCTGTAGAAAGGGGAAAGGAAAGCAGATTCATCTGAAACCAAGCAAATATTCATTCTACCAAAGAACTTTACGATCTTTACGGCGCCACCTTATTATAAGAGGTAAACGGCTGGATTCAACTCTCCTCCTGCAACAACACATTGCCCCAGTGGCGGAGAGCCCTTTACCTGTAATCATGAGGAAAGTTGCAAAGCAATTTTCTAGTAGAGCTGAAAACCAATTTAAGTTTTTTAATCCGAAAACTCTAAAATGCTTGACTATATGTTTAATAAATTCCGAGATATTTCGGATTAAGCTCTTGAATAGAGCAAATTTTAAGAAAGACATTACTGAACCTAAAATAATGAATACAGCTCCAAAGAAGGAAATTGAAATTCCCAATGAAATGTTGAAAGCAATATCAGATATTCCGCCCCCAAACCAAGCACAAGTAATTGAAAATAATGAGGAATGTAAAAAATCAGCTGATATTTTTGCTGAAAGCTCACTTAATGAGCAACTACTGTATGGAATTAAGACGGCTGAAAATTGCACGTATCTTAACTCTTTGCGTCATTTTGTTGCAGAAAACGCGCCTAGTAAAGATATTGTTGTAGAGGGAATAGAAAGCAAGAAAACTGAAATTTTTGATGTTGAAAATAAAAATTTTATTGAGTCGACAAAAGTCCTTGACGGGCCTCCTTATGAAATACCTCCATCTTCACAGAATATGGAAGTACTTAAGGAGCAAATTTTTGAAACAGAAAAGGTGGGGGAAGAAAGAACTGGAACATCGAATTTCAATACAGATAATGGTAATCGAGTCAAACGAACTAAATTACAGCTCTCAGAAGATGAAACAGAAAAATCATGTGCACATTCCGAACAGAGTAAAACAATAGAAATTGGGTTTGTCACTGTACAGTTGAAAAAAACCAGCAATACGAGTGTTGAAATGGCTATGCATAACTTTGAGAATAGAGAACCCACATTGGACATTGTTTTCCCATCAAAAGATGAGAAGATTCGGTTAAACAGTTCTGGAGAGAATGTGTACCGAATCGTCGAAGATCATTTACATTCGGAGAGGGTCAAACATCCGCAGACCGAGATGAATATAGAAAAAAACGAACAATCGGTTAGAGCGGATTCGCCAGGGATAACTAGAAATTGTGAATTATGTGATGAACAGTCTGAAAGATTAACAAATTTAGATGTATATGAGATGGAAAATAGTGTTGAAATGTTTAGAGCCAAAAAATTCGTTGAATATTTTCCTGAATCACCAAGACACTATTTTGAAAAGTCAGTTGACTTTGATGATAAATCCCCAGACTGCTACTCGTCGGGAAGTTCCGATTCATCTGCAACATCTTGTGGTCACAAATTAAAAATACTATCCTCGTCATCTTCTTACTTATCCTCTGACGAAGATACCAAAAGTAATACGGGGACGACATATAGCGATTCTAATGAAATGAAAGAATCAGAAAAGGAGCTTTCTCAACGTCAAGCAAGTGAGTCGAGTAATAATTTCCAAGCAATTGCAAAAGAAAAACATATTGATGCAGACTTTTATACCCAAGATGGCAGCAGAGATAAAAGGTACGATGTTCCGGTCAGAACTATAACAGAAAATGATATCAAGACCTTGAAACAAACATTAGGAAGGGGTAGTGATGAACATGAGCAAGAGGAAACCAGCCTTAAGAAGACTGACCAAAATGTATACGAAGATGAAAGGTATGCACATGCCAGCATTAATACAAATGTTTCGGAAGATAACGAATACCATGATGGATATAAGACTACGGAAGATAACGAGCCGATGCAAGCAGAAGAAAGTGTTGTATTTAATGACGAATCAAATTTGGAAGTTCCTGTGAATGTAAAAGATTCTTTGGGGTATGAGGTGGGGAACGTGTTTGTAGAGACAAGCAGATTAGAAAGATGTGATAAGTCATGCGAAATGGAGTGTTTGGAGACTGGCCTTGAAATAGGCGAAATTCAATCCCAAATCAAATATCTCTTTAATGCATCATTAGGAGCTAGCAAGGAGAATAGAGTACCGAGTTTAAAACAAATACTGCTGGACTTTCTTGAGAGAGAAAATTCCATAGAATATGATTCAAAAATTCACCGTACTGAAGATGATATAAATAGCAGAATACCAAAGCTAAGTGACCTTTGTAAAATTGCCTTATGTAGTTCCTTCGAAATTAGCGCCACCAGTAATACAATCCAAAATGTTCCAGAAAAACTGGAGCGCGAATTGAGCGTTGAAGAAGCTTTAGCGGAGATGTATCGACAAGCCGGTGTCGCTTTAGACCCCGAAGATGGCGATGAAGAAGAGAAAGAAGATCGTGACGTAGTATTAATTAGCCTAGAAGAAATTTTAGTTAGTGATAGTGACTTATATGTTTTACAGTGTGATATGAATGAAAATGCGCTTAGCGTTGTGGCGCATGCACAAGAGGTGGATTTGCCTATGGCAGTCCACGACGATGAGGATAATATCGCAGTTAGAGATGAGAATGACGAAGCGGTTAAAGATGTCGCGCGTTTAGAAAATTGCCTACAAGAAGTGAAATTGACTTACGAAACGACGGATTTATTTGGACCTTACTCGACTACAGACGCGGGTATGCCGCATTTGTTGAATGAAGCGGAAATGTCTTATACAACACTCACTCGGACTGTTCCAACTGAAATTACCGAGGATGCGATGATATTCGATAATGAACATCCCATTCATATGGATTCACTTGAACCACAGTTTTATTTTCCCGCAATACATCACGAAGAAATTGTCTCACATGATTACAGACGTCTCAAGCGGCAGATATTATACAGTAGTTTGCGTGAAAAATATGTGTTGAAAAGAGTAAATTTTAGGGCCCATTATGGTAATCGTTTATTAAAAAAGTACATACACCGTTGGATATTGCAATGCCTGATAGCCAGGTTCAGGGAACGGGAATTGAAGAAGGTCCAAATATAAGAAGATAAGTAGAGGTGAGAATTTCGATAGCTGCAGAAGTAGATATACATATATCGTTACCTTAATATAGAAAGGCCCCAATCTCACATCGTCGCTGAAATGCCAAAAAGCCGTAACTAGCTAAAATGTTTATTGCATATAACGATGTGGGGACTTAAAATTCGATGAAATGTATCATGACACCGTAGGACAGTAAATTTTACACACAAAAAAATTAATATATTCACGAAACTATGGGTAAATTATAGTAAAACTGCGTACTTAGTTCTTCTGTTTGACGTCAGGACTTTTTTAAAAGGACTTTGAAATTTAAAAAATATGATTATTTAAAAAAATTATTTAAAAAATTCGGTGAAATGTAGGATAACAATAAGGGTATCATATAAAACAAAAAGTTCTGTAGAATTAAAACAGAATAAATTGTTTGGTGCATAACGACGAATGGGTTTGGAAAATGTCCTTTACAATATTTTGTTTTTAATTATTGTGTGACTACGCACGACCTCATCGTCGAATTTCGTCCTGCAAACTTTGTTTTCATAAAAATATTAAATTTATTAAAAGCACATTTTTAATACATGTACATGTAAACCGAACAACGTTATTGTTTCTAAATTCTACAGAATTTTCTCTTTCATTTGGTACCCATATTGTTATTCGACATTGCACTGATTTTTTTAAATAATTTGTTTAATTAATCATATCTTTAAAATTTTAAAGTTCTTTGAAAAAAAAATCCTGTCGTCAGAGTGAAAAATTAAAAACGCAGTTTTACTATATTACTATATTTTTATATAGTTTCGTGAGTATATCGACTCATGAGTATATTTCAGCGACGATGTGAGATAGGGCCTTTCTACTTATGTATATATTAAAGTAACGACATGTACATATGCATGTACATTAGGGTGGTCCAAAAACAGTAAAGTCGGAATTGTAATGCTCTCACCCCTTAGGATTGCTCTATATCGAAAAAAAGTATACCCCAATTTTTTATTTTGAAAGCAAAAAAACTTTAGAGGTCGCTCAAGGCGCTCAAAGTTTTCCATGTATTTTTATATGGGAAAAATAAATTTTTTCGTAAAAAAAATTAATATTTATTGATTTCAAAATGAAAAAATAAGGGTATACTTTTTTCGGTATGGAACAATCCTAGAGGGTGAGAGCGTAAAAATTCTGACTTTACTTTTTCACATGCATTTTTGGACCACCCTAATGTACATATGCGCTACCTTTCGAAATTAATGAAAGCGAACATGAAAGCGTAAATGGCAAAGCTAGCGAGAAATACATTATGTGTACATAAATTCAGAATGAACCATTTCAGAGCCATGACTTAAACGATGTTTCCAGGGCAAGTGATTCGCTCTCCCATTCGTTATTCGCTCTCTCATTCGTGATTGGCGCCCCAATTACGAACCGAATCACGTAATTCGCCATACAACATTTTGAGAGCGAACCACTTCATTCGTAGGTGATTCAGATCCAATCACCATGCGAATCAAGAACAAATCGTTGTCTTCTCTAATTTTTATCGATAACGGCTGTCAAAACACATACACCACACACATCCCCACCAACACAAACATTGAAAAAATAGCTAGATTCGTTAAAACTATTGATTTAGCTAATTAACCACTACACATTTTGTCTCCATCGTTGAAATGCACAATAAACAACACATTAAACAATAAACAAAAACAAAAAACAAGAAGCAGAGTTGCAAAGTGAATCAAGGAACGTGTCGTGTAAACAGGTTGATTCGCCGTTCGTAATTGGGAGAGCGAACCACGTCATTCGGTTGTCGTGGAAACGCCGTTTTAGGGCGCGACATCTTATACATGACGCTATCGCCAAATTCGGTTTGTTTCTGAGGACTGTTTTTGGTGAAAATATTAAAGTCACATGTTCCGGCACAATTTCAGTGTTCTCTTCCCAATATATACAAATCGCTTATTTACTTTAATAGCTACACACTATACGAAATATACAAAATCGACTATGCAGAAATTACCGCTACCTGTTCTTCTATGTATGTTGTGTAAAAATTTCATAGCTTTATCAGTTAACAATAGCTCATTAAAAGAAAGTCTATCTTCATTTTTACTATGGGGGTATGTATGTATATGTATATCAATTCAAAACTTTAAAGCTGTTTTTTTTGAGTTTTTGTTTTTTTTTTTCAGTGATGACAGTATTGAAATAAATGAGCGATATGTATGTATATAACAAAAGACATAAAACAAAAATTGCACATTTTTTGTTGCCATTGGAAACCTTGTACTATACGAAGAATCTCATAAAGTAAATGTAGTTAAAAATATGTAAAAATTTGAATATAAGTAAATAGAAAGTTGCATTGTCTGTTTTAAGTGCTGCAGTAAAAAACTATTATATGGTTGTGTTAAAAATAATTCACTGGTTTAAGTTTTGCTTTAAAGTAAAATGATAAATAGTGTTTTTAATTGTAATTTTTTTTAAATTTAAGTCAAAACATAAGATAAAAATCTGTATTTTTATTCGCATGAGTGCATTAAAAATGGCCAGACTTTTACTTATATGTACGCATTTGTGCTTGTATGTTCATATACTATTTTGAAAAAACATTTTTAACTACGTCAACTAACCAATAATCAAATATAGCTTCGTTTCTTTGTAAACGAGTGGCTAAAGAACGCTCAACTCGGGTAAATTTTTTTTAGCTACTTAAGCAACCCTGTTAGTATCTAGCAAGAAACGTGTGATTAGTTTATTGGGATTTATGCACAAAACCAATTAAAATGTGTAATTTTGGGAGGCATTTGAGTAATCTTTATATATATGTATTTGACTAATATACACCAGAAAAAAGTCAGCTAAATATATTTCTCTCAACACATATGTAATTTGGTTATAGTTACATTATTAAGTTATAGGTAGTTATTAAATCATGTGTTGAGAGAAATACTTTTACCCGCCTTTTTTCTGGGTGTATAAATCAAGTATGTACACAAGGAAACCAAAAATTTCCCTAAGCACTTTCTCATAAAAAATGCATAATAGAGTAGTGTTTTCTTGCTTAAAAACACTACGCAACGGGTCGCGTATTTATTAACCAACCTGAACTCGGAAAAATAGCCGAATTTGTGTTGTTGCTTTGTAGGTATGTGTTTCGTTACTTTACCGAGTGTTCTATTGTAGCTTTGATGCAAAAGAATGCACCTTGTGTTTCTGTCAATCATGATTTGGTAATAGTACCAAATGGTTATAGTTAACAAACCTTGTGTTGGGGGAAATATTTTTAGCTGACTCTTTTTGCAATGTAGCTTATACATACATGTATGTACATATGTATGTGTGTAAATATTCTGCAGGGAAAGCTACCTGCAGCCCTGCAGGAAATGTATCTAACTATAAGCTAACTTTAAGTTGATTAGGAAGGAGCACTATTATCTGTATACTTTCTTTGACGAAAGCTAACTATATTTATATGACGATGGCCGTGAAAGTTTGGTTACCTCTGCGTTTCATGTAACTAACTTGTAACTAACTACTTTTGGACATAAAATATCAATAGGAAAAACAAAATATTTTATTATTTATTTACTTTATTTATTTTATTACATTTCATATTTGTTTACATATTCTGCTGTAGGTGGTCTCATATTGGAACTCCGTCAGACCTAATTTCAAAATGATAATATGAAATTTCGATCTACCTTTTATTTGTCCTGAATTCAAAAAAGTATTTGAGAAGTGCAGGATATTTAAATAGAAACGCGTTTAAAGAGAACAATCACCTGCATTACTTGTCAACTAGTTTCAAGTTAGCTTTTGTAGCTAACTACAAGTTATACATTTTACCCGCAAAAAAGCTAACTACAAGTGGGTTATTTTTTATCAATTGATAAGTTTTTTCTGCAGGGTAGTTGTGAACTAGAATACTACCAGTTTGCGTTTCAGCTCAACGACATAGTAGTTCGTTCTTCTTCCTGCTACCAACTTGTATTTTCACCACGGCTAAGTCCTAGGAAATTGGAATTTTCCCGCTATGAATCAGCACCTAGCAGTGGAAATACTAGTAACATCATACCAGTTGGCGGCAGTGCTAATATTTGAGATTTTTTAATTGTACTAATTTAATGACACAAAGTGTAACGTTTTTAAGCTCAATTGTACTTTTCACTTTTTCCGTCAATGCCATTACCTCTCTTTTCCCGTACCCGAAAAAAACACTAGGGTTGTTCAGGATGCTGTGGAAATGGTCTTGGTTTTGCAATTGGTATTGTATTTGCAAATTTTATGTTTTCTACCACGGCAACCGTCTATATTTTATTGTTGTGAATTTACAAATGCAAATACAAGAGCATATGCACAAGATCCTGAACAGCCCTACTATTTTTGTCTACTGCAGTGTGTTTATTGTTCAATTCATTGTACAGATTCATTGGTGAAGACTTAATTTAACGTAACCTAGGCATATTGAACAGGAAGTAGCTGTAGAGCATATGATTTTTTTTTTAATATTTGGTCTCTAAAATATCAAATCATTTTAATTTGTTTTTACAAAATCGTTTTAACCATACTGACGTATTTTTCTTCGTGCGTCCTACTGCCATTTACAATGTTTTTAATGTCTCGAGTTTAAGCAAAAAGGATTAAATATAATAATATTTGAGTTTTATTTTTTCGCTCAAAGGAAATTATTATTGCCCGATTTTTATTTTTTCGATCGAAAATAATGATTATTTTATGATTTTTATTTTTTTCGCTCAAAGATAATACGTAGTTATTATTAGTTTTCCACTTAAGAATAATGATTATTCCAAATTCAAAAAACTCCAAAGCTATACCACAGTGATTTACGACGTATCCTCTTCAGAGGTAGCGAAATCCTATTAAAAAGAATATATCCCAACATTTGCAAGTCAAAATTTCAGTTGGTTGCGTCTGTATGGCCTTTTAAATTTCAGAGATAATCATTTTTGGAAAAATAAAACTCGATAATTATTATCTCTGGGCGAAAAATAAAACTCAATAATAATTATTATTTTTATGCGAAACAAATGAAAATCATAAAATAATGATTGAATGTTGACTTAAATTATTTTACTCACAATGATAACCG